AATGTCCTCCATGTTTAAGAATGTACATGAGTCAGTCAGATAAGTAATCATAATTCCGCTTTTTCCAAGTTATTTCATGTGCAAAATAATTTATGCAAAGCATAGAATGAGAGTGAGTTGGATTCCAAACCAGAGATGACTTAGAAAAAAATGTCTGCAAAACCCTTTTGTAATGAGCTAATTGCAAGTTTCGTTGTCACGGTCTGTCGGGTTGGAGGCAAGAGGAACGAGAGCAGCTCCAGGAGTTACAAAGGGGTGACTCCTGCATATTTAATTCAGCTGTCATGTTTCAGCAGGTTTTCATGTTCATCCGTCCACATCCCTTGAATGTTTATTCCCATAGTCAGAGCTGCACAAAACGCTTTACAGACCTTTCCTGACTCTTTACGTCCAGGTTACTAAGCGCTACACACTTGTTTTTTAATAGAGCTTAAATGATCCTGTTAGAACTGAGGGCTGCTGGGCTCATGGCACACCCTCCGCCCACAAGAGGTGTGTTAAAGAGAACTTGCCAATACAGGAAAGGTTTGTTTCCCCTTCTTGACCCATCTCTCTGCTGTCTGCGTGGGTTGTTGCATATGATGCTCTGGCCAATCACAACCTGAAATGGGCAAACGCTGTTTCAACTCTTATTTCTCTATGTGCGAGCCGCCCTTGGTTTGTCTCACCTTAGACTCTCAGGATCCAAGGGAAGGAGATAGCTGATTGGTATCTCCAGGGGGAGGTGGGTAAATAATCCAGGAGAGAGAGGAGAGTTAGTTTACTCAGCACATTAGGAAGACTTTTTGGAAGGAGCCAGTCCCCAATCTCTCTCAATGTCCAGAAGTCCTTATAGCCCTTTTTTTTTTCCTTCTCTTTCTCACAAACCCCCCAATAATCACTCATAAACTGGCCAACCCTGATAGCATTTGCATCCCCAAGCTTGGAAGATGATCTCACTTTATAATTTACTGTCATTATCTAATACATATGAGGACTGTAAATGCTGGTGTCTTCAGGGAGGTGAAACATTCATTAACATTACTGGATTTCTTCTGCCTCCTCTAGTAATGTAGAGGTAAAAGGACAGGACTGTAATGGTTAATGCTAACATCCCAACCAGCTGAGAGAAGAAATAGTTGACATTTATGCTAGCAGTTGGATTTGTTCACAATTAAGGATGCTTCCTATGTGCTTGGTGCCAAATCCACCTCTGTTTTGAGGGCCAAACCTCAGAGGAAAACATGCTATGAAAATAGATACCCGTTCTGACTATTGGACAAGAAGCTGAAAATTAGTCTTGGGGTATGACACCTTCCAAAATTTCCCTTCTGGCAGAGTGGAGCCAACATTTTCCTTTGTTTTCCTGTCTTCTACATGGTAGAGAAGAGATCCTTCCAATGGTTGGTTATGTTCATATATATTTGTGGGTGCTTGAAATGTTGAGGTGACGTTGCCTGCCCTGGCAAAATTCACCTGTGCAGAAATTGAAACGTAAGCAAATTAACAAAAAGCAGGGAAAAGGTTGATGGCATAAATTAAGTCCAGAGTGAAGCTGTAACTGTCAGTGAGTTAAATGCATCTCTTTCCAGTAAAACATACGTTTTTAACTGTGCTATTGTTCTGTTTGCTTATGAAAGCAAATGACATGCTTCAAAAAGTCAAAAGGTACACGTTCTTACACACTTAGGTGATTCTTGCTCTAAATAACAGGACATAATTGCTGGTTTTCTCTGTCATATTATTAGCTGATGTGACATTTTGCCGAGCTTTGCTCTCATAGGTGTAATTTCTCCCAGAAAGTATTTCTGTACTTTATAGACAGACTGTAATGTAAAGAGCAAATCTGTTGTAGTCTGAGTTTGGCTAACCTCTGAGTGGCCAAAATGTCCCCTTTCACAATGGGAAATTCACTTCACACACTCTCAGTCTCTGTCGGTATAATTACATGTTGCTCTAAGGGATTTCTCGGTCTTTTGGAAAGCACCAGTTTCTCAGCATTACACCCAAGGAGAGGAGAGGCTCCTCTTACAGCTCTCATTGCTGCTGCAGGTTAGCATGGAAACAGAGCAATTGGTGTATACTTGTCAGGAGAGGCAAAATCTGTCCTTCTTCCACCTTCTCGGCTTTTGAGATGGATTTGAGGAGAAGATGGTGCTGCTTCAACCTTCCTCAGGTTCCTCAAGTAATATTTTACATGTGGGACCAAATTTCCAAAACACAGCGGCTCAGCAAAGTGTGACCAGATAAGGCCCTTAAGATGTAGAGATGCTGCAGCCACATCCTTCTGGTCCTTCAAAATAAGCTTTTATGTGTGCTACTCATACCTCTTCATTTGCAAGGTTCCAAGGCTCACTGGGATTTTGTTTGGCTGAACCCTGATGTATGTATTTCCCGTTGCGGTTTTGTGGGGTATGCTCATGTTCTCCAAGTTGTGATACCTTATTTAGGGCGACTACTTAGGAAACTATTTCCATTGTGCTCCTTCAAAGGCTTATCAAAAGCATTTATATCAGGTTCCTGCCTCTAATGCAGGAGGTCTCTGAATTAGAGTCTAAAGTGATGCACAAACGTCAAGAGAGACAGGGAACTGCTGGAGAGAGTCCAGCGCAGCCACAGGGATGATGAAGGGAGTGGAACATCTCCCTGATGAGGAAAGGCTGAAGGAGCTGGGTCTCTTTAGCTTGGAGAAGAGGAGGCTGAGGGTGACCTCATAAATGTTTATAAATGCATCAAGGGGGAGTGTTAGGAGGACGGAGCCAGGCTCTTCTCAGCGACGTCCAGTGACAGGACAAGGGGCAGTGGGTTCAAGCTGGAGCATAGGAGGTTCCACAAAAATATTAGAAAAAACTTTTTCGCTGAGGGTGACAGAGCCCTGGCACAGGCTGCCCAGAGAGGTTGTGGAGTCTCCTTCTCTGGAGACATTCAAACCCCGCCTGGATGCGTTCCTGTGTGACCTACTGTAGGTGATCCTGCTCTGGCAGGGGGGCTGGACTAGATGATCTTTTGAGGTCCCTTCCAACACCCAAGATTCCGTGATTCTGTGAGTCGCAAGGGGAGGTACAAGGTGAGAGCTCATTATGCCCAGTCACCAGCAAGGCTGGTGGGACATGAAGGACTTGGCTACGCTGGGTTGTATCCTGGCCTCAGTGTTGTAGCTGTACCCTGAATGTGTACCCCTTGACTATATGAAACATGTTATTTGCTTTCATAAGTGAATTAAATGATAGCACAGTTAAAAATGTATGTTTTATTGGAAACAGATATATTTACCTCACTAACAGGAAGCTGGAGGTGGCATGTGGGCATACTCATGTCTTATGTCTGGCCCCACACACCACATGTTGTATGCTTTAATCATACGCTTATATATTTAAATTAATATTTTAACAGTGTCCTTTTGCATGGTCACCTTGGCAGTTGGCAAAATGAGCGTTTTTAACTAGAAAACGTATTCTGAATCATGTGGTGGCATGAGTCCTTCACCTTAAAAAATCATCGCTTTTTGGCTTTGCCAAGTAAAAGTGAAAGATGTTGAAAAAGTAGAAGGAGCACTCCTGAATAGTGCATGTACTTGAGTGTATAATGCAGATTTTTATTGGTATTATGGCTCTGGAAATGACTACAAATTCCTTCTTGATACCCAAGGACCTTATAGTTGCTGCTTTAATTTTCTTTAAATCACATGTATGTGACAGCTACTTTTTTTGTTATGGGAAAAATAAGGGAAAGATCAGATTCTGACACAGCAGCTAATGAATCTCTGTCAAAACTGGGGAAAAGATGACAAAAACTTGTTTTGTTTGTGATGTTTTTGCTTTTTCGCTCATTTAGGTCAGCAGGGAGGTGTGGATTATAGGTGTTGTTTCTGGGCATGTTTCAATAAACAAAAAAAAAGGCAAAAATTATATGTATGACTTATACATCTGTATGACCACATCATCAGTGACATGAAACTTGCTTAATTATAGTATCCTTCTAAAAAAAAATCAGTTTGCGTGAGGAGCAGAAATGAGGAAGAAAGACATCACTTCTTTCTGTCTCAGATACCAAGATGAGTCCTCTTGTATCCTCCTAGTATACTACTAACAACCTCAGAAGTATTGGTGATTCAGTGTTTATTGCACATCAGGGAAGGGCAGTTTATTTTTACAAGACAGCGTGACTTGCCCAGAGCAACAGAGCAAGTCAGCTGCGAGTTGAGAAACAAAATCCACCTTCTGCCTTAACTCCAGTGCTTCATGCATCCTTACTCCATCCTTTCTTCCTCTTTTTTCTGGAGTAAGACCTTTCCCTGGGGACTTTTTGGAGTCAGACCCGTGGGGGACACCGGTGCTGCAGCATCCCTATAGGTGAACTTATCTTGAAGGTGTATTCCATGTCCTGGCTTATCCTTCCCTTGCACCAGAGAGGCTCTTTGATTCCTCAGGAGGAATCTTTTTCTTTACTTGCAGGAGCCAATGAGCTCTGTCCCCTGGTGGTAATTCCAACCCTAGTCAGAGATACCTCATGGATTCCCATTTCCTGGCGTTGATCTTGTGAATCTTTTATATTCATCCCTGCACCAGAGTTCTTAATTTTCTTTCTTCGTGCCTGAGATAGTGCGAGGAACACAAGGAGCACCACTTGGCGTTCTCAAGGAGGTGTGAAGGACTAGTCTGCAGCAAGGAAAGTGCCTCTTAGCATGGGTCTACACATGGTACCTCACCTGGCCTCATCTCAGCATTGTGACTTCTCTGTGGGCAGAACCCGGGTGGGATTAGAGAGCGCAGGAGATGCCAAGACGTGCATGAGACCAACCATCATCTGTGAGGGCTGGTATTGCAATCTAGAGAGGTGCAGACCTGTCAAAGACAACTGCAGTTTCACATCCAGATGCTGTCTGGTGCCTTCAGTTCTAGCTTTTGTGTTTTGTGCAGCCACGTTATGGTTATTTACCAGTTTTGGGGCGAAAGACTTTGGGAAGTCAGTAATGGTCTTTGCACTGGTGTCTAATCCTTACTCCTCTGTTGAACACACAGGGTAAAAAGGGAGAACCAGGATTCCCAGGAATCAATGGTCTGATTGGCCCTAAGGTAAGTGGTGATTTCTTCATTTTCATATGACGTGTGGAAAAAACAAATTTTGTGGCAACAGGAACTGCAATGCAGCATGCCATGACCTTGTTCTCATCTGCGCTGTCTCTGAAGTTGGTATTTCTCCTTTAAGAGCCAGACTCATTTGTCCTGTCGTGACTGAGAGAAGTCTGCCTGTCTGGCAGCAATTACTTTTACCTTGACACGGTTCTTCAGCATCTTCAAACAGAGCCAAAGGAGGTGTTTTGCATGTGACTTCCCTGTCACTTGTGTATAGAGCAGTGTCATTCCGGATGGAAAGCAATGATTTTTGGTTTGTAATATTTGGGGCACTATCTCAGCTAATTGTTGGCAGCGTGAATTGGTGATATACGTCCTGCGCTGCCGTCTTGAGAGAAGAAGCAGTTTAAAAGTCTTTTGCTATTCAGAAAGCACACTTCTTGAGCACAAGTCCCTTTTTGTGGCTTTGATAGTCATATTTCTAGTTGTTATAGAGGGCTAAGTGTTGGTCTACTGAGGAATGTAGAAAGAGAGGCTTAAAACTAAATGTTTATTCTCTCCATGAGGAAGGACTTAAGTTAGCGATCCCTTAGCTTCTGTTTTTTAAAGCCTTTGGCACAAGAGTGCTCGAAATTGCATCATCTGTAACGTTGTGAGGGCGAAATAGTGTGTGTTAAGCATCGTCAGAGATCATTTTGCTCCACCTTGGATCAACCCATTCTGTGCTGTATTGCAGTAACACTGACACTTGCCTCTGGCTTGGTTTCTTTCTAACTTTGTAGGCCAACTCTGCTGACCAAGTCACTTCATAGGGGCACCCCTGGCAACCAGAAAAATACCTGTGAGAATGTCCTCGAGGCTGGAAAGATGAAACCTCACTTTAAGCTGACCCCTCAGAATAAAGCTGAGCATTTCACTCATTCCCTTTCCAAGAACAAACTAATGAACTGAGTCTTTGCTTTTGGTTTTGTGTTTCAATAACTGGTTCATTTTGGGACAGGAACGAAGAGCCTCCATTGCCACAGCTGTTGGTGATGTACTGCAATAGATGGCACACTGCTAGACAGCAGATGCTGATTTTTCATTTATTTCCTCTGTCGAGCTATGGCCTTCTAACCAGAGAACACGATCCAGAAATGGTTTCTGAGGCAGGCGTTTTGTAATGAGCTGTTCACGAGTCTGTGGAGGATGTCAGAGACGCAACCCGAGGGCTTGTGACCCTCTTCAGGTGAAGACCCTTGTGTCCAGCTGGGATCCTTGCACTGTGAAACACCACTTGATATGTTTTTAAGACTTTTTCCTTTAGTATAGTGTCTCTTTAACAGCACTCTTCAAGAGGAATGAAGACAATATTTCTTATGGTTTTAAAGGATTTTGTTGGTTTGGGTTTTTATTAGGTTGGGTTTTGTTTGTGTTTTTTTTCCTATCAAAACAATGTCACACTTACTCAGCTGAAGTTGCCTGCAACTTTAAAAATAAAAATATATGCATGTGTTAGCAATTTTATAAATTATCTCAGAAAACTGCTGACATAGCATTAAGTAATTTTCCTTTCTGCACAGGCTAAAGAAAGTCAGAAAATTTTATGTTAATTAAAACTGCATATAATGCTGGCCTCATCGAAGGATACTTAATTTGACTGTTCCTTCAAGCTAACTCTAAGAATGGAAAAATATTGTTCCTATTCCTGCAGTGGCACTCTGTTCTGGACATGTTGCTGCACATTTCCATATTTCTCTTTTGAGAAAGTGCTTACATTCAGTTTGTGACAGAGCTACTTTTCAGCTGAACAGCACTTTCTGTGACATTTAGGTTTTTAAGCACTTTATCAGCTCTTTTTTCTTTCTGTTAATCAGACTAAACCCCTGAAATACTCCAGAAGAAAAAAAAGGAGGAAAGTTTCCTTATGCTGTAGTTACATGGATGTTCTTCCAAGTCACAGAATCATAGAATGTCATCTATGGAAATCTGTCACCTGTTCCTGTGCTGTCTGCATGGCCGTGAGGGCCAACTGATTTGAGTTGCTCTAGTTTTGACTGTCACCTTGCACATGCCAACTCAAACTAGATTTTAATCCAAAAAGATTTTAAATGTTGGGTTTTTTCCTTCTAAATCAGCTGTGGTGGTGGACCAGTCCATGGGCATGTTTACTCCATGTTCTCCAGTCAGCACCCCCAAAAATGAACATTTGTTTTCCAGTGACAGTTATAAATGGTGCATCTTGCAATATCATTAAGCCGTGGAGTAGACACTCTGGGTCTTATTTCCTCTCTGGAAATGAACGATTTTCCTGCAGCAAGAGCACAGACATCTGAACTCAAAATGTGCTTATGTTGTTATTTTTTTTTGTACTATTTTAGTTTCCAGGAACCTTAATCATGGGCCAGACTTTTGTTGTAGTAGATTCTTCAAATGCACACCGAAAAAACCTGCATTTCTGTAAAGCACTTTCAGCTGAAATAGATGGATGGGCACCAAGCACGGGAAACAGCGAGGCTGAAGGAAAATAGGTTTAGACTGGATCTTAGGAAGAAATTCTTCAGTTGTAGGATGGTGGGGTGTGGATGCCCCCTCCCTAGAGGTGTTCAAGTCCAAGTTGGATGAGGCCTTGAGCAACCTGGTCTCGTTGAGAGGCGTCCCTGCCCATGGCAGGGAGGTTGGATTAGATGATCTCTAAGGACCCTTCCAACCTAGGCCAATCTATGATTCTGTGATACGTGTTTCTGCATGGTCACTCAAGATCTCCGTATATCTTTTCTATTCCGTCGTCGGCTGATAGAAAGAGTTCAGAGAAGGGGCTGAAGGCAGTTGATGAGGTACCTTTGCAAATGCTTTTCTAGGCACGGGGGTATCCTGAGGAAGGAATATCTGCAGCTGGGCGACGTACGCTGAGCCATGAAAGTGTGTTCGCAGGCTGGGCAGAGAGGGAGCTGATGCCCCGGTGCTCACCGAGGGCTCAGACACTCTGAGCTGTATCACTGAATTACCAGAATTGGAACTCAGCTCCAGATGTGACTACTTGTTGGTTTAAGGATGGGCCTGCCAGTGTCTGAGCTGCTGTTGATGAAGATCCAGTTAATAGCGATGGATCCTGATGCTCTCCTAAAGCCAGTACCTACAAACAGTCCACTGAGCCACACTCTAAATTCTCTGAGCTTAGCCAGGTACCTGCTTGTCTTCCTTTGAGATAGCAAAACAGGTCAAAACTCTAGGAGATTTAAACAAGAGTGCCATACCTCCCACTTGCGGTCTCCGTGGGCTGTTATTGAGGTTTGCCTTATGCTAGGTAACCTGGTGGTATTAAGTTATACCTGCAAGGAAGACAGGTACAAGCTGTACCTTTTAATGGTCATGAGTGGCGGTGATTTAATTAGTATAGACTTGTCCGTAGGGTGTGAGCTCAAGCCTAGCTTTTCTTAAGTAATTCAGGAAATAAATTATATCCTCTGAAATGCATGGTGTCCTTAATGTCCTTTTTATAATGCAAGTTAATACTGCAAAATGTGAGAAAAGGATACAGGCTCCAGCTGCAAAGCTCAGATTTAATTCAGAGTATGCCAGAGCTACTCAAAATTGGAAGATATTGCTCAGAGCTATCTTTAATAAGATCTATACTTTTAACAAAAATAAAGGGAAAAAAAAGTCTTCGTTTGTGCAGATCGTTAATAGTACTAAAACAAAAGACCGTGAGGGAGGGTTTCTTTTGTTGTTTTTCTCATTTGCTGCACTGACCCAGTAAACCAACTCAAAGCAAACACATAGAGGAATAAATCTTCCTCTGTAGACAGAAGAGATCATGGCCATATCTTACACTAAGTGATGAAATTAAACAAATAATATCATTCACTGGAAGCAAGAAATTCTCCTGGAGAGACTGCTGTGTACAAAGTCAACTTGATTCAATACTTTCACAGAGCTGGAAAGACAGTTTGGAGGATTTTTGTTGGGAAAAAACCTTACTTTTAAAAATAATGTCGGTGCTCCAAATACAGTGCTACCTGGTGAAATGTCTGGAGACCTCATCTGCTTATGAATTATGACACTATCACTGAAGCTGACTGTAAAGCATACATCATAGGTAAATGCTCAGATCTGGCTCTATAGGCTTTTGGTTTTCAGTGTCATCATCAGCAGCTACTTTCTATATTCTCTTAACGTTTGTCTTGGTTTGTAAGGCAGGACTTAAGCAAAGAGAGAAATAGGGTGCTCTAATTCAACATTACTGGAAATAATTCACAGCAGTAGTTGTGCTGGTGGATACTGTAGGGTGAGAAATGAAGAGCCAACAGGAAAGGTCCATGGGGACTTTCTGAGAGGTGAAATTGCAGGGATTAATTGATTTTGAAGTTGAGACAAGCGCAGACATTGGCGAGGAAAAGGTTGTCAGCACCGTAGTCGTGCATTTTGCTGCCCCTGTGGCAGCAGACAGGATGCTCCTCACATGTCCTAGAAGTTCTTCTCGTTCATAAAGCTGGCATATTGCCTAAAAAGACCAGACTACATCTATTTTGGCATGGGTTAAGGGCTTATCTAAGCCTTGCTCATAACGTAAGAGAATCCAGTTGTTGGTAGGGAATAATATACAGAAAATATGTCTGTGCAAGGTTTGCCTCCAGAGGCAGGTATCTGGAAAGGCGATCAGACCTTGGTTTCCATCGTGGAATGGCATTTTTTTGCCTCCCTCTAAAACATAGCCTTCCCTTCCTTCATGGAAAAGAGATTTAGACAAAGCAGCCTCTTGATGCAGTCACAGACAAAGGGATTGTTCCTTTTCAGGGCGTCCTTAGGGAGTGCGGAACTTAATAGCTCTGCCTTTCCCAGCCTGTCTTTCAGAAAGGTACACACTGGAAGAGGAGAGCAGCCTTTAGTGGTTCCTGGAGGACAGGCACAGCTGTTTCTCCCATAAGGAGAGTGGCAGATTTCTTTCCTGAGAATAGTTCCAGCATTACATCGTCTAAGGAATGGAGCTGGGTGAAATGTGAGCCTGAAAAACTCTGCTCCAAGCCCCCCGTGTTTCTAAAGGTGTCCCACCCCATGACACACGCACACACCTCTACACGCTATTTGTTTTTTAAACAACATTTGAAATCTTTTTGTTTCAAAACAACAGTTTGAAAATACTTTGGCTTAAACATTTTGATAAAACATCCATGTTTGGCATTTGTGTTTCAAACTGAGTTTGTGTAGTCCTGTTTTGGAGTAAAGTGTTCATATGTATCAGTTTTTGCTTCAGCATGTACAAAATGCACTTCAGAGTCTTTACTAATGAGAAAAAAAACAAAACGCTCCATAATTATTTTCTTATAGAACACAGTTTTAAAGGGACAACACTGGAGGCTGGATTTCAGACAAGGGCTCTCATCTGTATAATTCACCAAATGATCTCTGAAAAGGATGATCTTTTAAATCAGGTACTTGCATCTAGATTCAGCTAAAAAGGAGAAGCAAAGAAAACAGCATGAGATTTGGGGGTTAAGCCTTACAAGCTGTCATCCTGCTCCTGTTTTATGGTGTTTTTTTTAACCACAGATAATTGTGTTTAATTGCATTCTATGCTTCTATGAAATGCTGTCAGTTTGGTCCTTTCTAAATATTTAGAAAGAATAGTCCTTGCTCTGAAGTACACTCAGAAGTCGGGAGAAGGGCTACAATAACAAAAATTTATATACTAATGAAACGTATTTGCTCTGGACAGTAGGAAAAGTCAGGGCTCTGTAAAGGACATGTATGATACATTTCTGCAACTTCCATATGATGGTGACATTTTATTTCTTTGCATCCTGGTCACTTGCCATAGCCCAGGCTGAAGAAAGCAAGAAAAAAACCAGTAGAACAGTAGAGGTGCTGGTGCATGCAGGCAGCTGGAGTAGGCTGTCAGCATCCTGTGCATCTCCCAGGGATACTGGTGGTCATCGTGTAAAACTGGTTTTGCTACATTCATCTCAGAGAGGCTCTTGTCAGAAGAGCTTTCCATTAGCTGGTGTAACATTTGTTGGTGCAACATGTGGTGAAGCTGACCGAGTAAACCAGTCTTGGGCATGAGGTCCTGAATGACTGCTCTCAGAGAGAGCAACAGAATTGAATCATTAGTGTCAATCTAGGGTACATTTTCTTTCATTTCGAGACTCCTGGTTGCATAAGGTTGATGTTATCCAGAGTACAGGAAGTTGAAGAGAATGATTAGAAATTGTCTTGGATAGCCAGAATGTAAAGAGTTACTAGGAGAAAGAGTTGGGATGAGGAGGACCTCATGTTTCCGGGATTGCACTGGCTCCTGACAGATGTTTGAGTGAGATTTTGCTTTTGGAGCAGGTTGACTTTTGTCTGGACTGTGTGGGTACCTGGCATCATACTTGGGCATGCTTGGGCTGGGGTTTTTCACCTCTTGATAGAAGCTCCCTACCGTGGAGAATATATGTTTCGTGGTGGGAGGACATTCAGTTACTGGCAGAAGGACGGAGAACAAAATTACAGACTGTTAGGGAGGAACCAATGGAATTGTCAAGGGAAGTCTGCAAAGGTAAATTCTGAACTTTCTCTCCTGCACTTAAACATAGTCCACTCTGCCACGGAACCAGCTTGTTGCTGGCTTTTGCCTTCTTTCCTGGCACTGCATCCACTCTTCATGGAAGTCCTTTCTTGGAGCCAGTGCCTCCTGCAGAGCCTCTCAGCAATACCGTGCTTGTGGAGGTGGAGTAGGGCCAAGCAGAACTTCAAGGTCCCTGGCATCTGAGCTCACTTTCATCCAGGTGTGTCCTCAGTGTGCTATTTTCTCAGGTGCTGCGCTAATTTGGGCTGTTGATTCTTTCCTTTGAATGGCGAAACCTTTTTTAAGTGATGGATGATCCTGACCAGGTGTCTTCTGATGGGGACTAGAGCTCCTTAACTGCAGGACCCTCCTGCAATAGCGGCTGAGCCAGCCCCAGAAGGGCTCCCCAAGAATTAAATCAGCAGTACCAGTGCATCCCGAGGCACATCCTTCTGGGGATTTTTCAGTTGTGCTCACATTTGAGGCACTCTGCGAATGATAATGGTGATGGTGGGATGACTCCATGTCTGATTTGAGTTGCAAGGGAAGCAGATGATGGGAGGCAAGTGCACCTGCAGGTCCCTTTTTTTGGTTGGATTGCCCCATCTACTGGTGAGAGGCTTTCTTCTCTTCTGACTGGATTTTACAAGTGTATTCTTAAAACACGGCTTATCTACGACCTTCTGTGAAACTATACCACAAATAACTCAGTGTCCTCACGTTTCCTCACATAATGTGAAATACTAATATTGATCCACGACTCGTAATACCTGAAATCACAAAAGCTATGCTTTGTGATATTGAGTGGTGACAGGGAAAATGCTGACTGGTCATTTTCTCTCTTGCATCAGTTGCTCAGTTTAAATTGTTTACATAGTGTTTGAGAAGTGTGTTAGTTTGTTATGGGTTTGTTCTTGGTTTGTTTTTTTTTTAACTAAAAACACACCAGAAATGTGCTGAAAATTGAAAATGAATAAAATCAATGTGTTAGAAAGTCAGAAAGAGACAGCCAGGTAAAACTTCAACTCTGTCATATATCCATCTCTCACATCCCTCCTCCTGTTGTCTGCTTAGGTCTTGATCCAAAAAATACATGAACACATGTTTCCTCTGGAGCACAGGAGAAATCCTGTCTTGTCTGCAGTAGAAGCTGGAAGTAACAAGCACTTCTGCATTGCAGACAAACTGTTAAGATCTACTGAGTATGGAAACAAATTTCTCCGCTACGATGCCAAATTTAACAGTTGGCTCCATACACAAAAATAAATCCCTCTGAAAATGGGCTGGCTGGTGAAAGAGTATTTTCCCTAAGAGAAACAGCTGTTGCAGGGAGATGAGTAGGAAAGACTCATGTTAGGACATTTCAACTGAACATGTGCGTTGAGTTTTTGAGGATGTTTGCTATCAACAAAGTTAATGCAGAGAACTAAAACTTGATTCCCTACTCTTGGATACCTTTTTTTTTACACCAACCCCCAAACAGAAAAGCCCGAACCACAAGCCTGTTCTATTTATAGAATCATAGAATGGCCTAGGTTGGAAGGAACCTTAGAGATCATTTAATCCAACCTCCCTGTCACGGGCAGGGACACCACCTCTCAGCTAGACCAGGCAACACACAGGGACTCATTAATTACTTCAGAAATATTTTAGCAGAGGTAAATTGTTCAATTTGAAACAACATTAATCAGGATTAAATTAGTCCGGATGCTGCAAGAGATCCCACTGCACCAGCTTTGTGTTTCACATTACCATTGACGGCCTTCAGCTCCCATCTCTTGTACTGGAGTGGACCCCTTGTAGCAATACTAATGGGTGGCTTTAGCAGGAGATCCTGTTCTGCTCGTGGCCATGGTTCCCTTGGAGCTCAGTTTGGCATCTTGCTTTTTTTTTGGGGGAGGGGTAGAAGGAAATAGAGCTCACTGCTTTTGCCCGTTCTGAATAGGGCTCTGACTACATAAGGAAGGACCTGAGGCTTTCCACCACATTTAGAGAGTTGGATAAATTGGTTTTGCTTCCTCTCTTACAGGGACCTCCAGGACCCTCGGGTGTTGCTGGACCCCCTGGACCACCTGGAGCACCAGTAAGAAAACAAGCTTCGGTTGCATTTTTTGTTTTGTATTAAGGAGAAGACGAAAAACCATATGGGGAGAATTTTATGTCCTAAGTTGCAGTGGGAACAGAGTCAGGGCCTCTGGCAACATGTATTTTCTCTTACATTTTCTTGCTGAAAAGCCACAACTGGTCCTAGAGGAGAGCTTCTCTGTGCTGAGCGTTGGAACCACATCGGTGCTACCTGGGAATAAGTCAATGTCTACAGGACTCCCCACGGCAGAGACCTAACTGCTGTGGGAGGGAAAATTGCATTTAAATTGGCAGTAGCAAGCACCAGAGAGATTGCTGCAAAGTACCGAAATTCTGATTTATTTTCTTCTGATTTTATTTTTCAGGGGCTGCCAGGAGAGATTGGAGTTTCTGGTAAAACAGGACCGCCGGGACCAGCTGTAAGTGTTGAGGAGCTACTTCCCTTGCCTTCATGCTCTCTTATGACTTCACATACTTTATTTCTCAAGTCTTTGCCTCCTTGCCTGCAGCTTCTCTGCATGCAAGGTTTTAATGTGGGCTCCAACACTATTGTCTTTAATGCAGACGTTGACCTCTGATGTCTTTTATGAAGAGGAATTTTACCACAGTTCCACTATTCCTACACACTGGGACCAGGATGTTTTCTTTGTATGATACCTTTCAAAACCCATTTTGCATTTGGCAAGATATTGTTCTTCCAAACCTAAAGTTTCTTGAATTAGGCCAAAGAAATGGAATTAAAATTTCAAATTTAGCAGAGCATAGTGATTTCTGTTGGCTGTTAAGAAAGGTGAATTATGAAATACTTAGTATTAAAAAGTGCCTCCTATAGCCTGCTTTGGGGATTGACTGACACGTTGAAAGGGAAAAAACTTTTCTCACTATTTTAAATGCATTACAGGAAGCAATTTAAATTCTTATCTTGCTGAATTATTCTTTCACTATGTGTTGTATAATTTAATTCTGGAGTCCATTAACTGTATAAAAAATTGCCAGTATTTAAAAGGAGAAATAGATTTTTAAAATCTTCATAGCGACGGATAATAGAAGCTTACAGAGAATGATAAGTAAAAATAGATTTTTTCAAGTTATTTAAGAATTCACAGTGCATAGCTCTCTCCTGGTGTTTCTCTATTACAACACTGACATCCAGTGGTCATTTGCCAAAATTGGGGTCCTGGTAAAAGCCGAGCAGACATGTGCGTTGTGAGAACTTTTGCAGGTTTTGCGTCACAGTAGGATAAAAGTCAGAACACTGACTTAGGTGAGTGCCACCGAAAACGAACTGAGCGTACTTGTGCATAGCTTGCTGTTAACAATTTAAAGAACAGGTGCTTATAATTTGTGCTTTTTTCTTGTTTAGGGTTTGCCTGGCAAAGATGGATTTAACGGGCTTCCTGGACTTCCTGGTCAAAAGGCAAGTGACGCAACATACGCTGGTATTAAGCTGCTTAGTCTGGGCAGTTTATGTGGGTGAGGTAGGACGTGCAGGTGGGAGGGGAGCAGGTTTCCAGAGTCAAACACACCTCACCGATCCCACACCACCGAGTCACCGGTGAAGCTCCAGGGCCAAGTCAGTTTGTGTGGTTTCACTGTCCTGAGGTGTTATGAAGGTGGAACTGGTACAACAGGCATCGGAGATCCTCTTCCAGTCTTCAGCTATTGAGTCCCAATTTGGCAAACACAGCTGAGCGTTGCAAACGGAGACACTTGTACTGTCCCTTAGGAAAGCCAGTGACAGTGGCAAGTCAAGTCATGTGTCCAAGGCACAAAGAAGAAGAACAAAGAAGTGTGGAATACTCCAAAGACATTCCTTTCTTTCCTTCCTGAAAGACTGGAAGGAAGAGATGCCATCCCTCTAAGGCTTCTGTAGATCTGTGTGACAGAAAAATGGTTCTTCATTATTTCTTACTACTTATCCCCCATTTGAAAGCTTCTGCAAATTATGAGTGGGGAAGAGTTGCCTCCTCTACTGTCTGTGGGAGAAGCGAGATAGGAGATTTAGGGGTAGGAGACATTCTGGATGACTTGCCAAAGAAAGGTGTCATATTTTGACTATGAAGGCCAAGCTAGGCTTTGAGGACGATGACACTGTATTGGAATAAGGAAAACAGCTCTTAACCATCTACCGCCTTTTACTGCGTTGGCAACAGTCTTCTTGCCTCAGATGCTTGAGAACTATGACCCCTACTTGTTCCAATAACACACTACATTTATTTTTGCCTCTCTCAGCTTAGTGCTTGAGCCCAGGTCTAACAGAGTCCCCAGCTTCCATTTATTGAGGAATAAAGGTGAGGAAATTGGAGCCTAAAACAAATTTCTGAAGCTAAATAAATCTTTGTTTCTTACTCACATCCCTGTGTAGCACCTACTGCACTTCCCAGCCACGTCATGTTTTTCAGCTCTTAAGCTGCTGCAGTCTCTCCATGCTGACACCACCGGCACTGAAAGAACAGTTTCAAAGTATTTGCCTAAGAGGCCCGGGTGCCAAGGTCCCAATCCTGGAATTATTTGTTTTTCTTAATAGAAATAATGTAGACTTTCTAACCATATGTAATTTGAAGAAACTGAATTGAAGTTTCATTTTTCAGGTAGTTTGTATGGGAGTCTTTAATGTAACAGCGGTTGACTTGGTGTTATTCCAGAAATATTCCAGTAAGGCGATTGGTGCTGGAGATGTGAATACGAGCAGTGCTAGAATGAAAAAACATTCCAGGAAACGTTCTTACATGACTTCATTTACATCTTCAGGCTGATACTGAGGATCTGAGTCAAAATATTCCTCGTTGTTGCCTGCAAAGATGCTACACCACCAAGAGGAGTTTGTATATAACTTCTTGTGTTCCCTACAGGGAGAACAAGGGGAAAAGGGTGAGGAAGGCCTGCCTGGAAAAGCTGGCCCTAAGGTAAGGAATTTTATTTCATGGTTTGCTGTAGCCGTTGAGTCAATCAAGGCCTGATTTTGGAAGGTCTCGTACTGAAGTCAGGAGAGTAAAATTCATCTAAATTTGGGGGCAGGAGAGGCTGAGCAGATGTGGCTCATTGCTTGTCAGACTTCATGATGTTTCAAAATACCAAAAGCTGTTTGATGCTCTCTCAAGTTTACCTATGTAGGGACATCTGACCTGACCCTGTGGTCTGGGTTCCCAAGCCATCAAGAAGGCAATTTCAGTGCCTTGTGAGAAGGAGGTAGAAGAACATGAACCAGGACCGTACTGGGTGTGCTTTACTAAAGAAAAAGTGTTCTAACAAAAGGTTCAAGTCCTTGCAATGTTTTCTGCTTTTGTTTTTCCAGGGTGAACCAGGGAGCCGTGGCCAACGTGGTGAGCAGGTGAGCAGGAAAAATAGTCTTGGCAGCAAGACCTGCCTGTCAGAGTGGTCTAGAGTGACCACATGCGATAACAAAGCCATTGGCCAATAATGAGTTCCATGCAAATCATTTGCGTCTGTGATTGAAGATGCAACAGATGAGTGGATAAGACTCATGGCTGGACAGAGTAAGGCAAAAGTTCCAGAACAAAAATATGCTAAATCAAATTTTTCACTGTGTCCTGGAACATTGTTCTCTTGTTTGTGGTGGATAGGGGAGAAAAGGCAAAGTGGCTTAAAAGTGCTTGTAGTGGTTTGACCCTGGCCGGGAGCCAGGTACCCACAGAGCCGCTCTCTCACTCCCACTTCTCCACTCTACTGGGGGAGAAAATATTTCAAAGGGCTCAAGGTTTGAGATAAGGACAGGGAGATCACTTTCATTTACTGTCCTGGGCAAAACAGACTCTCTTTTGCGGAAATTAGTTAAATTTATTAAGAGAACAAATCAGAGAGGAATAGTGAGAAGTAAGAAAAAGCAAAACAGATCTTTAAAGAAAAAAAAATACCTTCCCCTAATCGCTCCCTTCTTCCCAGGCTTAACGTCAATCCCAGTTTCTCCACCTCCTCCC